TGTCTACCCTAATTGGCCAATAAGGAACATAAAAACTCTAGAGAATTTAAACAATTGCCAGAAGGTACTATAAGGAATCAGTGGGCCTTCTAGAGATTAAGATCTAATAGGTAACACCTTTTTCTTGAGACAGAGTCTCACTTTGTTGCCCAGGCTAGAGTGCTATGGCATCAGCCTAACTCACAGCAACCTCAAACTCCTGGGCTCAAGTGATCCTTTCGCCTCAGCTTCCCAAGTAGCTGGGAGTACAGGTACCTGCCATAAAACCTGGTTAAATTGTTGCTATTTTTAGTAGAGATAGGACCTTGCTCTTGTCCAGGCTGGTCTCACTCACTTTGCTCACTCCGCTGACCCTACTGCACAGTACAGGTGTTCAATCACATGGAAGCAAAGCAGATATGTCAGGAAAATGAGAGAAAGGAAGCGAAAATCACATTCTGTAAAGCAAAAGGGGAAGAGCCGCAAGGCTGCTACAGGTATTCCACACGCAGAAGCAGACGCCCCAACTACACAAGGACAGACGACTCCTACAGATTGCCCTCAGAGGAAAGAAAGAAGCTGAGAGTCAGCTTAGACCAGGGAAGCATGGCGTGAGATCTGAAACCGAGCTGAGAGGAGGGAGAGGAAGCAAAGAGAGGGCCAGGAAGTCATCAATGAGGAGATCAGCTGCCAAGGTCAGACTCCTAGAAAACTGTCTTCATTAGAACCACCACTGACACAGGGAAAACCAGAAGAAAGAGGAAAATGATTGAGGAGCAGAGGCAAGAGGACAAGGGAAGTCTAGGAGACCTCTTTATCCAGATAGTAGCAAAGCAGACCTATGTGCAGAGAGACAGGGACGGTCTGCTCTGAGCCAGCACAGTGCCCAGCTTGGAGGCAGGTGCAAACCACCACAGCAGAGTCACCTATTCCTTTCTCTTTTTTCTTCTCCACCCTTATTTTTCTCCTACCACCCCCAATTTCCTCCCGTCTTCACTAAGTAAGACCTAGTGCTTCTTTCCTGTTAGTGGAAGAGGTCTGTTATAGCTCTGCCTTTCCCTGTCCCCTGGGGAGGGCCACAAAGAGGAAGAGGAATGGCATCGGCCGACCTCCCAGTACCTCTTCAAAGGTGAGCCTCATGGGACACAACAGCAATCACAAAAGAACTTCCAATGTCAGGGTGACATGCACATTCCAGTTACCATGACCTGCAGTCAACAAGCAGTAGCATCATGTCTAAATTATTAACTATCTAAAGAGCAACCAGATCATAGCATGGGCTTGGCTGAGGCCCTCCGAGAAAAGGGGAAGAATGCTGACCCCCAGCACTCACGGGCAGGGTGGACCCACCACAGTGGAATACCACAGGTTCTGCATAACCCCACCCAAATGCAAAGGTCTTTTTATAGTATAATGTGTGAGAAATAATTAGAATGTACTTTAAGCAATTTTGAAAACTGAATTGTATACACTGGTGTGATAGCTTTTATTATGCAGGTCCATCATTGAAAACTCAAAAGTTATGAAATTACCTCTGATTTGAGGGAAATGCCCCAAATTTTGGTGAATAAGTAATTTTACTTGCTCCTTATGACACATCTTTGAATAAATATTGTTTGTGCTACACTGACACTGAAACTTCCCCTTGAAACAATCCCAAGCCTCTAATTTAGTGTATTCACGTTCTAAATTCACTTCAAAAAAAAAATTCTCTGGTGCTCTCCCTTATACGCAATTAGATTCCAAAACATGCCATCACCATGCACACTTAACAAGGTGAGCAGTCTTTTCTCAGTGAACAGCAGTGTTAAAAGGAAGTCCCCACATTCAATCAAGTAATTAGAATCTATAATTTCCATGAAAGGCCAGTATCTACCAAATCTGTTCTCAAATTTTGATTAAAGATAGTCCTTCAACTTATAGAACTGTGGAATTCCAACAGTTTGATCGTAAACCAGTTATGGAAAAGAAAGAGGTAGTTCCCTAATAAGAATTACACACACAATAGTTAGGTTCTCAGTGCAGCCTACGAAAGCCTTCTCCACTTGTGCTCTACCTAAAACAACAATAATAAGACTGTAGAACCCACAGTCAAGGTGATGTTTCCATGAGAAAATCCTCTCAGAGTTCCCTTTTGGCATGCCAGGAGCAAAAAGAAAACTTCCTTTTTGATGGCTTGGCACCTGTAGTTCCAGCCGCTAAGGCACCAGCCACATACACCAGAGCTGGTAGGTTCGAATCCAGCCTCGGCCTGCCAAACAATGATGACAACTACAACCAAAAAATGGCTCCTTGTAGCGGGAGCCTGTAGTCCCAGCTACTTGTGAGGCTGAGGCAAGAGAATCGCTTAAAAAAGTTGGAGGTTGCTATGAGCTGTGATGCCACAGCATTTTACCCAGGGCAAGAGCTTGAGGCTCTGTCTCACAAAAACAAAAAAAAAAAAAAAATTTCCATCGTGGGGGCTGTGAAAATCTACCAGGATATCCTAGGTAGGGAGTGGGGAGTAGGGCAGGCACAGCCAAAAACAAGGAAAAATAGGTGAGCAGGATGGTTTTAAATAATGATGGAAGCAAAGCCAGGTGATTTGACAAGGGGG